TCAGCTCAACTCTGTCACGAAACGGCCCGTCAGCTCCTCACGCTTTCCTTTCCTTTTGGCACCGGGGCAACAGCCCTCCCTCAGCCAGGGAATAACCAGGGAGCTGTGCCTGAGCCCCAGAGAACACCCCATTCTGACAAGACAGGGCTTGACTCCCCTGTTATTAAGCAGGAAGTGGGAATTCTAAGTACAAATACTAAGGGTGAAATAGGCACAGCTGGCACCGAGGTTAAAGGGAGGTTGCAAGACAGGACTGAAAGAGAAGAGGGTTAGATTGGATATAGGGGTGAAGTTCTTCCCTGTGAGGGTGGGGAGGCCCTGACACAGGTTGGGCAGAGAAGCTGTGGCTGCCCCTGGATCCCTGGAAGTATCCAAGGTCAGGTTGGACAGGGCTTGGAGCAACCTGGAATAGTGGAAGGTGTCCCTGCCCAGGGCAGGGGGTGGGACGAGATGGGCTTTAAGGTCCCTTCCAACACAAACCATTCCATGATTCTGTGACTAAACCACCGATTTCAGCTCACGGCACATGCCTGGTAATCAAAGATGACAAGGTTTAGCAGTTTATTATTAGTAATGAAGCCTTTCTGTCAGGAAAATGTAGAAGTGTTGCTTTCTCAGCTGCCCACTACCTACAGTGAGCTGAACAAGCCCCACTTCCCAGGAAATAAGTTCCTTTTGGATCAGGCAGTGGACAACTCAAGTGGGAAGAGGTCAGCATCACGAGGCACATCAGGTCTAATCACCAAGCACGAGACTTCAGGCTCAGGGCATTTCAAAGGCCAGCATTTCTCAATAAACACGGGAGCACCAACTGCTTTCATTTCACATCCCTCCCCCTTTCCCCAGGGGTGACAGGCAGTCTGGTGTGACACAACAGGAATACACCAGCCCCTCCCTGGACACCAAATCTGTGAGCGGGGCTTTGATAAATGGGAGGAGGGAAGTGAAGGAAAGGGAAGTGTAGGAAAGTTCATGGAAGAGAGCTCACAGAAGACAGGAATAATAAAGAGTTCAAACTCGGCAGCCAGGAAAGACTTAACAAATAGGCATCTTTGCACTCAAGAGCTGCTGACAAACAGCCCTGCCCAGAGGAAAGAAAAATCACAAGTGGAAGGATTAAGTGGGCAAGTGCTTTGACGTAAGTGTGATTTTGTCAACGGAGATAATTTAGGGAATGGGTTCGTAAAAGCAGAGGATGCCTGTGAGGAGGACTGGCTTCAAGGCCAGGCTGGATGGGGCCTGGAACAACCTGCTCTAGTGGGAGATATCCCTGCCCATGGCAGGGGGCTGGAATGAGGTGGTCTTTATGGTCCTTTCTAACCCAATCCATCCTAAGAATGGCAGCACCACTTGGGAGCTCTCCTGCACGAGGATTTTAAGGCGCCTGCTCAGCATCGCTGGGATCTGAGCAGGGAGAAAATTCAGCCCAAATTTAGACCTGTACGAGCTCAGTGCCTCCAGCTGGCACACCTGCAGTGCTGGAGTTTGGGATTCTGCAGTGCCACGTGCCAGGGCATGGGGGAGAAGAGAGGGTTTGGCAGCTGGAGACCAAGAGGGAAGGAGGAGACAATCCATAACACAAGCCATGAATTTAGCTCCAGAATAGGATGGGCCGAAATTGCACCCAAAAATAAATTCAAGTGGCTCTTATGAGCAAGGACAGATTTAACCACCACACACATCTTCAGTTCCTGTCCCCCAAACCGTCATTCCCAATGCTCTCACTTCTTTCTAGATGGAGATCCAAGCGCCTCTGTGACCAGGCACAGCTCAGAGCAGGTTTTTGGGGTCAGATCCAGGATGGAAGCGACAGAGTGTCTGAAGGGAGAGCACAGTTCAAGTGCTTTGAAAGCTCTGGAGTGCTTTATTCAATGTTTTGACTGCTTCAAAGTAAAAGCAGGGCCCAGCTTCCAAAAATACGTGAAGTAAAACCATCAGCAATGAGAAAAATTGATTCTAACGTAACATCCAACACCACGGTTTGATGGGGTCATTTGTAACCTCCCATCAAGCGACCACAGGCAAATTGGGTTGGTCAGGGATGCTTCAGAACTGGCTGAAGTGCAAGAGGGTGACTGGAAGAACTTCCTCCAAGAGGGACACAAACACCTCTGTGCCTTTGACAGTTTGTGCCACAGCAACTGTCAGAGGCCACGCAGCCTCCCCAGGGCTTGATTTGCTCTCCAAAAGTCTCCAAAAACCCACCAGAATGAATGAGCCCAAGGGTCTGAACTTTGACTCTCCCCAGAGCAGAGGCTGCAGGACCTGTGGAGGGCGGTGGAAGGGAAATCAGTGTCCCTGCTGCTCATGGTACATCTGCTTCAACCCTGCAGCCGAGGCTGGCATTCCCACCTTTAATAAGGACAGGGAGGGACATGGAGCACTGAGCTCTGGATGCCAGGTGCTCCCTCGGGAGGTGAATCTCTCAGTGAGTCACATCAAAGCATCCCAGAGGAGCTGAGCTGCCACTTGTCACCTCCACAGCAAAACAATCCTCCTGCCCCAACAGCCCAGTCCTGTCAGTGCAAACGAAGCTCCAGGAATGCTTGAAAAGATCAGTAACAATTCCTGTGACAGGCAAAATGGGGGGGAAAAAAAAAATGTGGAAGTGGTAGCCCTCTTCCTACCCCTGGGAAAATGGCATGGCCATGACCATCCAGGGGGCTGGAAACAGCTGAAGTGACGTGGAAAAGTGTTGGATGGAGGATGGGACCGGTCACAGCCACAACAAGCCTGGTGAAAGTATCCCAAGATGACCTTTCCATGCTGGACTGAAAATTGTGGAATAACAGCCACAAGGCCATGGAAGCTGCTTACTGTGCGACCACCCGTGTCCTTCATTAGTTAATTACTGACATTTCTATGACTCCATCGCCTTAATGAAGCGGCAGGAGGGGGAAAATTCAATATCAAATATAAAGAGATCTCAGCTGGGCAGCAATACCTTCCCCTGGCACGGGTGGGTGGAATTTCAGCACACAGGAGCTTAAATTCCCTTAAATCCCTGCTACCTCTCTTGGCCTGTGGGCACTGAACAGCCCAAAATGAAATCCCCCCTGTGCACACACACAGCACCACGAGCCCCCTCAGAGGATGAATCCTTGAAGGCTTCAAAACACAGTTTTAAAGATTCTCTCCCGAACTGAGCCAAATTGTCAGTGGGTGGGATTTGCACCCTCCAAACACAAGAGAAGCTGTGGCTGTTCCATCCCTGGAAGTGTCCAAGGCCAGGTTGGATGGGGCTTGGAGCAACCTGGGATGGTGGAAGGTGTCCCTGCCTGTGGCAGGGAGTTTGGAATGCGATGGTCTTTAGGGTCCCCTCCATCCCAAACCATTCCCATGATTCTGTGAAACTTGGGCACCCTGGATTATTGGCAGCACAAGGCAGGAACTTGTTTTGGGCAGCAGAGACACTTTAAACAGATCAAACTACAAGTTTTGTGTTCTGGTCTGCTGTGCTGCCCAGAGTCACCTGCCCAGTCATGTCACCTCTAATGAGTCCACAAGCCACCAAGCCAGGCCCCACCTCGCCAGAGCCTCTTTCCACATGAGCCAAGCACGTTAATCTCCAAAGATCCCATGCTGGCAACTCCAAATCCCCTCCACAAAAATAAAACCACTCCAAATTACACATACCAAAGCAGCCGAGAGCGAGTATTGAGCAACTGCAAAGTTCCTGGCTTCCCTTAAAACCAGTCATGGTCTTGCAGTAACTTCAAAAAAAAAACCCAAAAAACCCATGGAATAGGTCAATTCCCGGGTTTTGGATGCAGAGGAGCTCGGCCTTCCCGTCACTGCTGAGGCTGCCTGGCTGCAGCTTCCAGCCAGCCATCATCAGACCTGTGTGGCTCATCTCTGAAGCACTTTTTTCCCCCTCAGGACCTTCCACCTCTCCTATCCACTTGTGCACAGACTCCCTCGTCCTCCGGCCACCAGCTGGTCAAGCCAGCTCAGTTTTCGCAGTCAAAATTCAGTTTCTCAGCCTTGAAGTTCAAAAGGAGGGAGAGATTCGTTCAGGGGGCTGGGCTTCCTGGCTTTGCTCCAGGTGGGGGTTGGTGGTGGTAGAGAGGGAATGGAAATGGATGTTTTTGGAGACCCTAATTACACGCTGTGTAATTCCTCAGTGGAGGCTGGAGGCTCTGCCAGCACCCTGCCTGCAACTGCTCTCACACTCAGGACCAAACTATTTTCAAAAATGATGAGCACAAACGAGCTGGGTGATGGGTGAAGGGTTTCATTCAGGTTTGCAGTGAAAAAGAGCCATCAATCTACCAGGGTTGTGTCCCACAGGAGCCCAAGAACCCCCCTCGGCAAGATGCTGAGAATCCCCAAACCTCCTCGATATGGACAAGGGGAAGGGGCTGGAGCAGCAGGAGCAGCTGAGGGAGCTGGGGGGGCTCAGCCTGGAGAAAAGGAGGCTCAGGGGGGACCTTCTGGCTCTGCAACTCCCTGACAGGAGGGGGGAGTGGGGGGGGCTCGGGCTCTGCTCCCAGGGAACAGGGACAGGAGGAGAGGGAACGGCCTCCAGCTATGCCAGGGGAGGTTTAGGCTAGATATTGGGGAAAATTTCTTCTTGGAAAGGGTTGTCCAGCCCTGGCACAGCTGCCCAGGGCAGTGGTAGAGTTCCCAAAAGCCATGTTGATGTGGTACTTGGAGACAGGGGTCAGTGTTGGCCTTGGCAGTGCTGGGGAAATGGTTGGAATCGATGGTCTTAGAGGGCTTTTCCAACCCAAACAATTCCATGATTCCATGATTTACATGGGAATGCAGACCAAGCAGCACCTGGCAAGATCAGGTCCAGCCACGTGTTTCAATTAACACTGACTTAAAGCTCCAGTGAAAGCAATGCTGGGCAGAGGAGCATTGCAGGGAATGCAGCAGCTTTGGAAAATGGGAGAGGGAATTTGCAGGGAATGGTGCTGGGGCTGCAGCCCCTCCATGGAGAAACCACCACCCTTCCTTACAGCACGTTCCTGCTCTGGAGCCTGCTGCCAGCTCACCACGGGCTCCTCCTGGAGCAGCATCCCAGTGTTGGGCAACGGGGCAGCATCAGGTGCTCCATCCCACACTGCTCACTCAGCTGTGTGAGAAGGGAACGAGGACAGAGCGCTCCAAGGTTCCCCTTTCCTCGCCACAAACAGGCCGAGATCCAGCTGAGGATGCATCCTTTTCAGCCAGCTCCCTGCATTTCACAATTTATCTTCAAGTTTCCACAGGAAGAGGGCAACATATGGGGAGTTACATAAACTCGAGCAACCCCCACAGAACATCGTGGAGGGGAAAAAAAAAAAAGGCAAATACCTCTGCACAGGCACAGAGCCCGGTCTAGAGCAAACCCTCAGCTGTGTCATGGGTAAGAACTGGACACAAGCAGCAGTATCAGATAGTCAGGTGCTTCCACAGCCTGCTCTAGGTGGATCAAGAGGTCTGTCCCCTTCGTGCACGTGCACACCGGAGTCACCCAGAGCTCCCCTGCAGCCCCGGCTGAGGGACATCAGTTCCTGCAGGGACCCCCACAACAGCCACCCAGAGGGATGGAGACGCTTGAGGACCCTCCAAACCATTTTAATGTGCTGAGGGACCCAGGTGGAAAGTGTTCAAGCAGCCAACAGGTCTGTCATCCTCTCTGGAGCCTCGTCCGAGGAGGGGATGGGAGGGATGAGAGAGGATGAGTGTGCCTTTTAGTTACCCCCCCCCCCCCAGGAAAGCAAAGATTCACCTTAACCCTTCCAAAGCTGCCTTTCTCTGTCAGTTAGCTCTTGCCTATTTTATTATCTTAGTTTTTATTCATTTGGATGCTGAGTTTTGGGAGGCCAGACGTGCCCACTCAGCACAGCCCGAGTCCGGACACTGCTGCTACACAGACCAACAGCTGGGCCACAGATTCCACCTCCAGGCACCTGCTGGAGTAAAAAAAATAACTCCTACACAACCACTGAAGACCAAGCCAGGTACAGAAAGATGATAAATGAGGTTCTTTTCCCAGGGGACAAGGGACAGGGCGAGGGAAAACGGCCTCAAGTTGTGCCAGGGGAGGTTCAGATTGGATAGAAGGGGAAAATTTCCTCACCAAAAGGGTTTCAAGCACACTTCTAGATAATCTTAGAAAACAATTTAACCTCTCTAATCCCAGTCTCAATCCTCCAGCTAGCTGAGTATCCAAAACCAAGCTGCTGCCACCAAAGATCCCACCCAGTATTCCCACCCTGCCTGGAATGAGGATGCAAATTCTACACGGCAACTGGGATTAAAAACATCTATTTTGCCTGTAGCCAAATAGGTTTAAAGTCTCCTCAAAAGAAAATCTTGAGGATTATCCATGCTTTCCAATTTATTATTCATTCGTAACTCATCTCTGTTCATCTCTAATTCATCCTGGAGGGGCTAGCTTTAGTGTCTGCCCTGGGAGGGGCATGAAGCTCCAGCATTTGGACTAAAGTTGTACTTCTGAACCTCCAAGAGCAGCCAGTTTGCAAGAGAGTGAAATCCAGAGGCTCTGAGACACACCACATGTTCAGCAACACTGGAAAACACACGTGAATATATTTATTTTCAGGCTTCTCAAAGACATCCGCAAGAGCTTCGCTTCTGGAACCCAAGTGAGATGATTATCTGCTGGCCTGATAAAAACATGACTCAAATTGTAGAGCAGCAGGGAATTTTTGCAGGCTGTCCTGCCATGCGCTATCACCAGAAAAAATTTATGGTACCTCAAAAACCTTCAGGTCGAGAGCCAGGATATCCCTGTGCCTGGAACAAGAGGCTGCGCTTTCCCAGAGCGCTGCTGGAATCTTCAGAAACCACTGAAATGCTCTTCTTTTATTTAAAAATGAAACAAAACAAAACAAAAAAAAGGCAAATCCTGTTCTTCATATTTCTCCTCTTACTCAGTGAGATTTACTTACTGGAGGTTTGCAGCCTTCCAGAAACCTCTAACAGCAGTAGGACTGCCCCTTTTGCCCCATGTTTTGCTGAGTGTCTCGGGTCACCCTGGCACCAGCAGCCAGACCTGAGTGTCCTCCTGGCTTTTCTTCCACCCTTTTCACTGCCTTGGCAGGTGGCTTCTTCCTCCAGCTCCATTTCTCCTGTCCCTGGTCCAGGGCTGGGTCTGCACAGCAGAGTTTCTCATGGATGGAGTAAGAGCAAGCAGGATTTACAGCTGGTTGCAACCACGCTGAGGCCAGGAGCAGATTTCCTGGCTGCAGAACCCTCTCTGACAAGCACCACGGTGTCATTTACTGACACAAATCGGTCCCATCAGCCCTGAGCCGGCCACAGGTTGTGAATGAGGTGTTTGAAATCCCCCAGAGTAGGAATTGAGACACCAACTCTAAAAACACAAGGGTGGAAAGCAAGGGATGGACCCCACACATTCCCAGGGATTAATTACAGGAAGATCTCTGCTGCTTGGTTTACAAGTTCACCACTGTGGCCTGTTGGAGAGAGTCCAGAGGAGGCCACCAAGATGATGAGAGGGCTGGAGCAGCTCTGCTGTGAGGAAAGGCTGAGAGAATTGGGATTGTTCAGCCTGGAGAAGAGAAGGCTCCGGGGTGACCTAATCGTGGCCTTCCAGGTCCTGAAGGGAGCTGACAAGGAAGATGGAGAGGGACTATTTGAAAGAGCCTGGAGAGACAGGACAAGGGGGAATGGCTTCAAATTGAAAGAGAATAGCTTTAGATTGGATATTGGGAAGAAATTCTTCCCTGGGAAGGTGGTGAGGCCCTGGCACAGGTAGTTCTGAGAAGCTGTGCCTGCCCCATCCTTGGAATTGTTCAAGGCCGGGTTGGGATGGGGCTTGGAGCAATCTGGGATAGTGGAAGACGTCTGTGCCCACGGCAGGGGGTGGGACTGGATGATCTTTAAGGTCTCTCCCAACCCAAACCATCCTGTGACTGTATTATCAGCGTCCCCAGAAGATGCCACGCTGGGTGCACAACAGACAAGTGAGGATGGTTGGGTGCCATTCCTGGGGAGACCCTCTACAAGCTGCCTTCTAGGGCAGATCCCCAACTCCCTGGGATCAGCATCTGAGCACAGGCCCAGGGAGACATCCTGCCCTCAGCAGTTACTCTCTGCAGCCCAGGAGCAAGGTCACCTCGGATGGGGTGGAGCCCAGAGCCAGCCAAACCCCTGG